ATGTAATGATATATATTTTTCCAAACACTTATGAAAATATGAACTCATATGAAAATATATTTTATAACTGATGTTATTAGTTATAATTGGATGTTTATCTAACGATTAGAATAAAAAATAAAAAAATCTGAACAAATATTTTTTAATAAAAATAAATAAATATATTTTTCATTATTATTTTATTAAACTATTTAATAATTAAGTTTACTATCCACTAAAAAATTTTACAAAGTGAATTACATCGATAGCTAAACATTTTTTCATTCCAAAATTACAAAAGGTTTAAGTTCTTTTAAAAAAATACTTTATACTTTGTATAATATTTAGAGCATTCAGTTCTTGCCTCCATCAGCATTAATTGGTTTGGATTGGTCATTGGATTTTGATTTCGTATCTTCCGCTTCACGTCTGTTCAACAATGGTATGGAAGATGAGTCTTTGTTGCTTGTTTTTTTGATGTCAGATGACAATTTCTTGAATAATTTTGTCATGTCTTCATTAGAAAGATTTTCTAATTGGTTTGCAATATTATCAGTTTGGCTTTGAGTATTTTCAACAGCCCTCTGTGCTGGCAACAAACCTGAGTATAACATTTGATTATTGGCATTGGTCAAGGGTGTTATACTGTAAGATTGAATAGTTTCTGGTGCTCCTGGATTTGGGAAGGCGAATCTCATAGGTTCTGAGCTTCTCATAGCGAAGGAGTTGTCTTGCTGTTGGATTGGCATGTTCACAATTTGGGGCATTAGAGCATACCTTGACGCTTGCTGATTATCTAAATTTTCTTCAACAGCTCTCATTTGAGTCAATTGCCATGGTTGTGCCGGTGGGCCGGCAATTGAGTATCCAAAGGGAGTAAGTGTAGGATCAGCAGATCTCATAGCTGGTTGATTAAGTCCAAGAATAGATTTTCCGAAGTTTTGTGAATCAATCCAGTTGAAATTTTGCATATTAGCAATGACGGAGTCTGGTAAATAGCCTTCAACGCTAGTTGGTCGGTCTACAACATCATCAGCATCTCTGTAAAATGGTCGTCGATTACCATATTGCATACCATTAAAACCGTACAGACCATTCATGCCATTTGCGCCGTACATACTTCCCATTCCGTTCATACCACTCATATAAGAATATGGTCTTGAGTATTGTTGTCCGTATCCTCCCATCATTCCAATTGGTTGAGATTTAACAGTGCGAGAGACTGGTCTGTCATTCACGTAGTGAACTGTTTCAACAGTTCTGCTGATTGGTATCATTCCCTTTTCTTCAGCTGATTTACCATAGTATGATTCTTGGCCACAGTCATCAAAGTGTTCATGAATTGGGTGTTGAACAATAGGTTGATGGTAGATTGGTTGTTGGTAAATTGGCTGTTGAATATATACTGGCTTTGGTACGTATACGGGTTTTGGGACATAGATTGGTTGGTAAATAGGCTGGACTATGGGCTGGTAAGATTGATGATAAGAATGTTCAGCGATAGGTTTTTCAATGTAATGCTGTTGTGGAGGTTGATTAATGAAATAAATTTGAGGAGGCTTCTGTAATTTTTTTAAAAGTAAGTGAGTTTTAGGTTCAGCTGCCTTTCCAGTTGGATTTTCAGCTGATTTTTCGTATGACAAATCTTCTGGATTGTTAGGTACGGCTTCACCACATACGACTTTCTTTCTTCCATCTGAGCTGTCGACAAGAATGCAATTTTCTTGCGTTTGGTCTTCAGGAGACGCGTCTTTCTTTACGCGGATGGTAGCGGTTGATTTTTCACCAAAAGCGGTTGCTAAGCAAACAGACAAAACAAGAGCGGTGGCGAACTGCATGTTGACGGCACGACAAACGACACACCAAGTGACCACAGAATGGCAGTGACGGTATCTTAACAGGTGCTTCAAGCAGTCCAATAGTGCTGAATTATCGAAAAATTCTCAGTGTTCAATATATTTCGTAATTGTCACCAAAAAACAGTCAACAAAAATTTGCCTCTGACAAAACACTTTACAAAAATATTCACATAGCAATACTATCTAGGTCATTAACAACGTTGTTCAAAGTTTTATAATATATGTATAGTATTATGTTACAGCGATGTCTACCACAGTAAAATAAACAACTTACTCATTGTATTTTCATAAAATACAATTTAAAAATGCATTTAATATTTTAAACAACAACAAATGATTCACCGGAAATTAAATTAAAATATTTGGTTGAACTATCAAAACAAATAAAAATAATATGATTTTTACTATTTTCAAAATGAAAAGAATTTATATATATATATATATATAACAACATTTACATATAAATAGTAAAATAGTAGTTACTTCAGTGAATTAATAAAGGTTTATTCCTAATTAACAGTAAAGATTCGAGTAAAAAAGACTTTAGTGTTTAATCTGCATTAAATTTGAATTAAATTAAAATTTCAAATTACTTTTATAATACTTAATATAAGATACTATAATAAACAAACTGTGGATGAAAAAATAAAACGAGAAATTTCAAAATTACGATCTTCAATTTTTATTTGTGTTATTACAATATGAACAAAAATGTCCGATTTTAATTGAAATAAATTTCTAATACCATGTAAATTATTAGAAAAAAAACATCTTTTTTCAAGTTTAATATACATATGGTAACAAAATATGAATCATTAATATTTTTAAAGATGAAAGACTTTTAATTTTCAATTACTAATTTTTCTTCTTTATGAACAAAATATAATTTTTTTATATTGTCAATACTTATTTTGGTAGTATAATGTAACATTTATTATTGTTTATAATTGCAATACTAAGTTAATTTTCCTAAAAAAAAAAAAAAAAACTCAAAACTAATAAGGTAAAAGAGTATGTTAATCAGTACATTCACACAAATACAATTACATAATGTAAAATATAATAATTTATGAAAATTAAATTCTAAATGATTAACGAGTAATCAATTTAAATTTTAGTATCCAATAAATAATAATTAAATTAAATTAAATTAAAATTAATAGGATGTGAGAGATTAATGTCGGAAAGCACAATTTATCTTATTCCATATCTGATGGGGTGGATACAGTGTATACTTTTTCTATGATGGGTTCTTCGCTTTCTTCTTCGGAAGAGTCGAAAGATGAAGCATCTGTGTCTTCGTCAACATCTCTAGGTTTTACAAATTTGGTGATTTTTGCTGAATCACGTTTTTCCTTTTCTAGTTTGTTGCTAAGAATAAGTGAACCTTTGGTGTTTAATGGTTTTGGCTTATCAGCGTCCAATTTATCTTCTGGTTTTTTAACTTCTTCTGGAACTAATGGAGTGGTTTCAGTTTGTTGTTCAGCAGGTTTTGTTTCAGAGGCGGTGGTACTGGTAGCTTCAATTGGTGTTTCAGAGTTTCCAGAAACTATAGCCTTTCCTAATTTTGAATATGTAGCGAATTGATCGACAAAGGCTGGGTTCTTGTTAAGTTGTTCCAGCATCAGCAAAGCTTGTTGTTGTTGATAGTATTGTTGTTGTAGTTGTTGTTGAAGAAGCAAGTATTCTTGTTGTTTACGTTGTTGTTCTTGGTACAGTTGCTGTTGAAGTTGTTGTTGAGCTAAGATCTCTTGTTGTGTTTTGATTTGTTGGTAATACTTTGCTACATCGGCAGCAGCTGTAGCAACTGTATCATTAGTACCTTTACCTTTGGCTACCTTTTCCTCGTCTGTTGTGTTATTACTTGTAACAACAACAGGAGCTGGTGCAGCGCCTCTTAATGGATTAAAGGCAAAATAATCAGCCATTTGGTTACATGATTGTTTTTGAGCGTCTGGTAATTCGTTGGATCTCCCCAATCTCCTGTTAATGTCATCAATCTCGTAGTACGAGGGATAGCCGGTTTGTTGACCAATAAGAGCATTAAGTAGGGCATTTGAGTACTCTTCTAGGTAGCATTGGTGAGGTTTTGAATGGACCATAAGAGCACCTGCGCTTAAAGCGCATAGCAATACCGTGAAAGAGCTCATTTAATTAATTTTACTTTACGACAAAAATGAGTAAAGAGCGTAATTACTTTTTATCGAATATTTCGTTTTATTGTGTTAACTGTTTATTCACAATGATGTAACTGATGCTCAGAAAATTTCCAAACGGAGTATTTATATGACTAACTCTAAGGTTAAGAAGGCGATTTCAAGATTGTTTAGCTATTGCACCAAAATACCTGAATCTAACCTACTCCAATAGTATATTTTTCAAAACAAGAGTAAGATGACCTTACTCCAATAATAATTGAACAATTTTTTAACACGTTTTAACCTTGTATGAGTAATAAATTCTTTTCGACCCAGTAAATATTTATCTTGATAAGTTTAAAAGCTAACAAAACAATTATTTTTTTTTTATTAATTATCAGCGAACCATTAAATAAGTCAAATTGAAATTTGCTTATAATTATTATAGGAGTAATAATTTTGCGTCAATTCTAACCAATTTTTTTTTTCAGATAATTACATTTTAATAGAGAATTTTCATTTTAATGTTAAATAAGGTGTTTTGGCAACACATTCGTCAGTGTTAAATACCGAATAGTGAATAAATCTCTTGTTCAAAATCTCAGATTCGACACTTAAATGTTTTATAATCTTATCTAATAATAATAATAATTGATACAAATGAATAGTTAACAGACAACTATAGGGTTTAAAAAAATGTTTTATCTTTTTATATATTATAAACTATTCATTTTTATAATAATATGAATTATTTTTTTAAGTCTGATAATATTTAACTATTTTCATCAAATCAAAGTAATAATATTTAAATTATCCACTATATTGATTTCCTAATCAATATAAAACTAAAATTCGCAGTTATTAGTATCATAAAAATGTCATCAACGTAAATAAGAGAACTCACAGATACCTCTATATAAATAGAAAAATACTAACAGCATTTAAACGTGAAACAATATTTTATTTTTAATCATAATTATCCTCATGATAATGATTACAATATATAATTATAATAACTTAAAAGTAAGCAACTTTAAAGTAGATATATATTTATATAAATATGTATAAATTATATATACATAATACATTTTGTACAAAAGTATTTATTATAATATCATAATTATATCATTTAAGGTTGTTTGTATTTAAAACTATATTAAGCATTGTATTCTCATTGAGTATGAAAAGAAATAAGCTTTAGATAATTTATTTGTTACAATTTACGTACAGCTATGTTATAATAATGAAATACATATCCGTATATACATACACACACACATATATATTTACATAATACATGTGTATATTTTATAATTTGTTCAAGTGATTAATTTTAAGTAAAATTTTTTTCGTAAGAAAATGTGTTGGGTGTGAACTGTTAACACAAAGAATTGAATGAAATTTTAAAAACTAATAAAAATATATTAGTGGATTTTTGTAGATTTACTTGCTAAGTGCTCATTATAATTAATAAATAATGAATTATTATTCATTTAAGGTTAACAATAATACAATATGACAAACATAAGTAAGTTTTTGTCTTGTTTTCATGATTCGTGTTACTTTATTTTCAAACCTATGAAGCCCATAAATGTAATAGCTTATATTTAGTAATTTTTAATATTAAAAATTGTATAAATTTTGCTCGTAGACTTAACAAAAATAATTGTTATTTATTTTATAGTATTGAAACTGGAGGCAATTTTGAAAAAAAAAAAATTCCAGTTTAATGTGAATTTTAAATATTATAAAAAAATATTAACATACATTAACAAATATTCTTAAAAAAATTGTGTGAAATTAATAAAAGAATACTTGTAAAAAGATCATAATAAATCAAAATCTGACTAAATTGTTAAAAACACCGGAACATCACAGTTTCACACCAAAATCACAGAATCTTATTGCAGTATAACATATTATATTATTGTTATATTTTGTTGACAACAAATTGTATACATATATATATATGTATATATTTATATGTGTATATATAAAATGTGTAAACTAAAAATGTGTACACTACGCTAATTATTGCCATAATAATTTACTAAACATTGTCATTAATGTTTAGTTTTGATATGGTATTGAATTGCCACTGTTACTAGACAGAGATACAGAATCCCGTCAATATTATTATCAAGTTTCACATAATATCGTTGAATAAAAAAAATTAATCAATTTATCTATAAATACATATTATAAAATATTATGACAGAAAATTTTATCAGAAAATTGGGAGGGAATAGGGTTCTATTTGAACATAAAATTAAAAGTTAAAATACATTATAAAAAAACAAATATTGAGCTTATCTCATTTCATGTTTATAAACTTATGATCATTTTGTTAAGTATTATACAATGGAATTGAAAATTCAAATAAAAATTACATAACAATAAAAAAAAAAATGGTTAAAATCATTCAAACTCACAATAAAAAAAAATATTATTATTATTAATATTATCATTACAATATGTTTTAAATTCCATTCGGGGCAAAGATACCGAAAAAGTATACACTTTCAAATCACTTTTATATTTGTCTACCATATTAAAGGCAATTGCAAATTTTTATTACATATTATTAGTCTTACGTAATGTTAATATGAATATCACATGTTATTAAAAAACAATTATAATTTAATAATAAAACAAAATTCCTTATGAGTGTAAATTAATAATCAAAAGCAATCATAGAGCAAACAAGAACGACTTCTATTGAACCACAATACTACAAACGTGTATAGGTATCTAATTATTATTTTAAAATTATTTCTACTTTAACTTATAATTAATTTATATTAAAAATTACCATTTTGTATTTTATTAGCGTCAAATGTAATGATAGTAAATAATAATTAAGATTTAAAAACATGAACAATCCTACGATTGTAAATTAGCATTAAAAATTTTAATATAATAATTAATTAATTAAATTTAAGAAAATATTTACACATTAATTAATCAAATAATAATATGTAATTAACAATAAGTACAATAAATAATGACTATTAATTTTATTCAATTTAGAAATAATTTTATTTACAATGAACACAGTTTTGCTGAATATGGGATAGCGTTGTGACAAATATAACAGTATAATTTTTTTTTAATTGATAATTAAGTGGTTGTATTTTTTTATGGATCCTAGATTTATTCGATTAGGAATGTTTAGAAGATTCATTGCCACTCAAAATAACACGCAAATCCCAAAAATTTTAACATAGAAAAAACATAGTTTAAACATTTTAGAATTAGATACCCGAATGAAGTATTCTAATGAAAGCATTGATTTAAGAATTATGCCAAATAACACAATTTTTTCAAAAGTAATTTGTGTTTATGAATTTAAGTTTTCTAAGGTATAGAAACGATTTATTACATTTTTTAATCATACTGATTGAAAAATGTTTAAAAATGTTAATAGAAATTGGTTGTATCGACTAAATATTTTTCTTATATTGTAATATTTACGGATTGAAAATAATTTCAAGAATTTTATTATTATTGGTCACAGTTTATCCTTTTTCACTTTCATATCAATTGATTTATTGAAAATTTTCTTTTATTACAGTACATTACCCTGTCACACTGTATAAGGCCGTTCAAAACACAAAGAAATAATATTTTCAACTCAAAATGTGTTTTGAATTACTTAATTATTAATTTATACTAAACTCTAACCATGACATGATGTGTTCGGGAAAAAATAATATTGGTATCTCTTAGAGTAAAATTTTTATTGAACAATAAATTGTCACGATTACGAAAATCATAATTCACATTAATAATTGCTGATTTATTATTAAATGTGTGTTTATATAATATTTATAATGATATTTTATATGTTTCTACCAGAGTGAAAAATGGTAAAAAAAAAAACTATAATTAATATTTTTTAAATTAACGAAACAAAAATACACAACCAAAAATAACAAGGAGAATTTATAATAATTTTAAATAAATTAGATATAATTAAATATGGGAATTTTAGTAATTATACCATAAGTTTTTTTTTTAATAATTCAATGATAAGAGTTTAAACCGTAATAACAATAATATTTTAACAACAATTATATTTAATTAAATAGTTTGATAACAAACAAAAAACAAAACAAAATAATATAATGGCAAAGAATAATTTTAAAAATACATAACAAACATAATAGTCGATTAGATTAATAATAGTAATAATGTTGTTCGTTAAAAATCAAATGTCATTATTACCGTTAATAAAGTAGCAATAAAAACAAAAAATGTACTTAACAAATTTATATTTATTTGAGAATTGTATTAATTTAATTATATTCAAATATTTTTAAATATTGTGGCCCATTTTTATAATATACACTATAAAAATTCATATATTGTCAAAAAAAAAAAAAATTACCCGTTAGAATTTAACATATTATTATGTATCTGCCTGTCATCGATCAATAAACGAATATTCACATTCTCTAATCATAAAAATACGTTAGCAAATGACTAGATCATAAAAATACAGAGTTGACCAAATTATTTTTGGTACGTCTTATTGATAATATTATGTTATATTATAGATACTTATTTATATTGTTCGAATTAGTAGTTAGTAACAAATTTTTATTAAAGGACTATAACTTTTTTGAATTTTATATTTCAAGAATTGTTTGTATACCAACAGATAAACAAAAATGTTATAATATTAATAAAACATCGACTTCATGTCAAATAACCAAATAAATAGTTTAGATTATTAAACACGTTTTGTTTATATTCATCTATAGCCGTTCTGATAAAATATGAGATCTTAACGTTATGCATTACTTAAAATTATAACAATATTGTTTTTATTGACTGTATTTTTAAAGACGTTTAATTTTAAGAGCGACGTACAGTATTTTTTTCGTTTAAATTGTTTGATTAGTCGTTGAGGTATTATAATTATATTAGGTAGGTAAGTTATTACAATAATAATAATTATACAATTATAAAGTTAATATTAAAATTTACACGTACTTGGGTTTACTTATTGTTTATATACAATAATAAATACCCTAAAAACAAACGAGTAGTTAATTATCATAATAATAATATAATATATAATGTTTTTTTTTTCTTTATCGTTATTCTTAAACATAATTTTTTTGTTATCATAATATAATCGTTATTAATATAATAAAACATGTTTTTTTTTTATCATTATAATTATAATTTATTATATAGATACGATTATTATAAATAGTATTATTGAGAAATAAAACCTTTGGTGTAAGTAAGAGTGATTGAGACATTTTGTATCTCTGGTGATAGTTGTGAATTATCCAATCATTCACATGCATAGGGGACATTAATATCGGTCAACCTAAAAAAATAATATTAAAAATTAGACAAGCATTAAAAAATTTGAATTAAACAACTAAAATTAACCTTACGATGGAAGAAATTTGTTGACTCTAGCGTTGTTTAATGGTACCCATTGGTAAAAGCGGCCGGAATCAAAGGTCCCTGTAAAAAACATTACAAAAAAACGATTAGTGTTAACAAGCTCGACAAAATGCATTCGTATAATAAAACAATTTTTATTTTGCTTAGTATTTTTATAAACATAGGAGTGTACAACACATGCTATAAAAGCCATAACACTATGGACACTATAAAAACCCTCTAATGGTGATTTGGTATTTTTGAAATGACCCGTTTGATTATTGTTAGTAAGGGTATATAGCGTTAATTAACACGTATAATAATATTATATAAATTGCGATTTGTTATTTTTATTTCGAAATTCTTAAACTAAGAGAATTTGAAAATTGCACTTTGTGTAAGTTTTGTGCCGACGACTTAAAGCGGTACTGATTTTCAAATTAGAATTTTCTAAAAAGGAATGTAATAATACTTAAAACTTGTCGACGATTCTCGAACTTCCCGGAAATTGAATAAAAGTTATCGTGAATAATATCCGAAAAAGTTATTCAGAAGAAGTTCGAAGTGATCCAGATTAGACTTTAGTAGGAAACGGAAAAAGAATGTCAAAAGTTAAAGAACGATAGTATATTGGACTTTTTTTCAGTTAACAAAAATCTGGATTCACTTTGAAAATATGTGTTGAAAAGCTCTTAGTCGTACTAAGCTAATAATAAAAACTGTGAATTCTAATTGTGAGTTATTAACAATCGTAAATATCGTAACCGACGGGTACAGCAACTGGTAGTCGGGTTGGATTCCGACAAAGTTTTCCAAAAAAATGAAACTTTGAAATTCCTCTAAATCGTTACTGTTATAAAATCGCACGTTATGTGTCTTAGAGCGATAGAAATCGCCTAGTTGCCGTACCTATCGTTGTTTCTACTTAAATTAAAATGTCGGGCTACTCTACGTCGAAACTAAGTATATATATATATAATATTATTATTAGTCCAATAGCGTTTCATTTCCCACGAACGCTTAATGAAACACGGAGATTTAATTGAAGAAATGTGTTGTGCATAAACATTGCATTGTTTTTGTATGATACATAACGTTATTTCTAATATTATTATGGTTTTCATAGTTGTTACAAACCCTTAAAAATCGGACTATATACCTACAGGATTGTAATTAATGGGCGCACGTGAGACGGCGATCGCGGGGAACGCGGACGGTTGCGGCGACGCTGCCTGCACATAATCGGCCGGATTTGAGCTGTACAGGTCCATGGTGGACGGGGCGCCAGGGCCGGGTGACGTTGCCGGCGGGAAAGCGGTGCCCCGAGGATTGCCGGGGCCGCCGGTGTGTGGTGAAGCTGGAGGCCCAAAACCTTGTGCCGCGACAGCAGCCGCCTGATGGTGGTAATTGCTCATCACTTGAAAAAGACACACACACGGAAATGTTTTCAAAAAAAATTCCATCAATAACATAATTATAAATTACATATATATATTATATTTAACATATAAATTATTCTTAAAAAGAGTGTGATCAATTACAAAACAGCAGTTACATTGTAATTTTGTGCACTCGAACAACAACATTCACGGCGACATTACCGCGTTCAAGCACACCAGCCAATTCGTGAATTTTGCGTTGAAAAGTTCAAGAAAAAGAAGAATTTTTGACGGTAAAAAAGCACGTTTCTTGTGAGTCCGATAGCCGTTTAATTGAAAGCAAACAGATAAAAGCAGAATTTTCGCACTCGAAGGATTCCGTTCATTTAAATATCGAGTGCGTTTCAATAGTAATGTGTTATTATTACAGGGCGTTATTGGTAAAAGCGTTCATTTTTATTTCTCAGCAATAGTAATAATTATTGTCAAAGCAAATCAAATTTTTATAAAAGCTAAGCAAACGTGATTAAAATATTAAACAGGCCATTATATGTTCATTAGCAACACAGCAATTTTATTAACAATAACTTAATTAATAGTTAAATTCATTTTTAAAATTCCATATAAATTATTATCGTACGAATTTGATCTTTTTTTAGCAAAGATCCTCTGAAAACACTTTTCAAATTAATTTTTACTTGATTTTTAATTGTTCATCAGTAACATTGTAATTAGATAATTTATAACTCTAACGTCAGTAAACGTAATTTTTTTAATCGCGTGCAATACATTCAACTGAGCAATGCGACGTACAAGGTGTCACTGACGTTAAATGTAAACGGTCCTATGGAAGTTTGATTTTTAATAACACGGAAAAAGTTTAAGGATGAGACTATAAACGTTTTCAAATACATCGCCCTATCGCATCAATTGTCAAACACATACGGCACAGAATTCAATGCGTTCAACTGTCTTTACGGCAGTTAGTTTTCAATAAGATGTCAATAGGAAAAATGATAAAAAACAATTTATAATAAAGTTTTATATTATTAAATTAATAATAGTAAATGGATGTGTTTAATATACCTGAAAGGGCTTGTGTTAGCAGCGGTGTGTTATTGTTTGTGGTTAACTGGCCGTTAATTGTCAGATCAACTGTAACGACACGAAACATGGTTCACATTAAATTAAATCATCAACAAGCACAAACGAAAGTACGGGTGACAAAAAAAAAAAAAAAAAAAACAAACGTTCATTCAAAGTCGCATTGATACACTAAATACTGTTTTAAGTTTACACTATATAGATAGAAAACTTCGAGAGTGTTTGAAAGACAATTAGTTGGTATATAGTATGTACAGTTTACTTCTAGGAATCAACAATACCAAAATCTAAAAACAAACATTTGGTTGCAAAAAAAAAAAAACAACAACAAAAATACACAACTTTTATTAATAACAATTTTTAAACCATTTAATAAAACACAAGATAAAAAATTAATATATCCGATCAAGCATAGCTAGTAAACGGATCAAAATGTATAAATATTAATATACACAAATATTTAATATATTTTAAAACGTTTTCTGAAACTGTAGTGTTATGTGAGGTATAAACTGCAGACATTGAGTGGATTAGTACAAATAGACATCGTAACTCGGGTCTGACTATTTCATATTATTATAGTCGAATATGAAATACGAGCAACGAGAATATTTAGAGCACAGAAATTCTACAAGTAAATTGAGGTAAAATCCAGAAATGGAAGAATTCTACGTGAAATGCTGAGGTTATTTTTCGCGGCTAGTGTCAACCTTTTAAAAAGAGTAAAACGAATGTTATTACGCCGCTGAATTCATTTATAAAAATATGTTCGTACGTTTTTATTTGTAAGGTACAGACTGATATCAAGTTAGATACGATAAACAAGTGAACGAACGAGAAAATAGAAAACAATAGAACTAATCAGAAAATAAACTCGTACATTTTTAAACAAGTTTTGATCTAACGATAAGTTTTCAAGTAGAAATTATTAATAATAGATCAAAACGTTTCTTAATTGATTTATTTCAATTTAAAACCAGGGCGGCAAAAGGTTCTTCATCAGAACACGCATATTTATTTATTTTTTGTTTCGACGAAATTTCCCAGTCGCACTCGAGAGATGCGAAATAATGAAGACGAAAACGTTGGCAGAATTGACTAAAAGCAACACAATGACTGTCGTAGAATAGCGTACAGGTGTAGAGTATACAACGCACACGAGGTGATTTTAACAAATAACTGGCAGACACTAACGATGATTTAATATCAGACGGCGCCTTGACACTTTATTAAAATAACAACATCCGTACGGAGGAAGAGCAAATGGAACGGCACACCGCCGGCAAAAAGACCCCACCAGCCCATTGTCATCTTTCACTCGGTAACGGTCAACATTGTACTCGTAGGCGTATTCGTGTCATATCGACTGCTATTCGTTTGTCATGCTCTTCACCGCAAACACACGTGCGGTACGCACACAAAGTACTCGAATGCCAACAACAACTCGTACACATCTCGCCGGGTGACGTGAAAAGCTCACGACCAGCACACTGTGCAATACGTTTATAATGTGCGTCATGTAATCCTTTCTTTACGATTCCTACGCGCCCCTCTCTTTCTCCGTCCCTCAACACCCCCCCGGGAGTTTTCATGTTATTGCGATGTTAATCACACGGAATTGTGAGCCCGTCCTATTAAAAATATTATGTTTTTCCAGTTTAACGACTCCGCGCGAATTCACCGACAAACGAGTACGGTAAGTATACAACGATATAATACTCCTCCCGTTATCTCCGAACTAAGTAAACTAGACAGTGAAATGATGAAATATCAAACGAACCCGGTTGTCATTCGAACGGTGGTAGCTTAGAAGTTACATTCGAATGAATATGTGCTTTGAAAAGACAAGACAAGACAGTAGTATTTAAGGCGGTGATCACATTAACGTTCCAAAGAAAATGAACAGTTCGAAATGAGATAGGTTCCCTAGAAATGTACGTTCAATCTATAATAATAATAATAAAAAAATGTATCTGAATTACACTCTAGTTCGACAATAAAACGTTTAACAATAGTTTTTTATAATAATAATAATAACCGTTTCAGAAGAACCTTTTGACAATGCCAAACGTTAAATTCTTGTGATTAATAATAATACTAATATAATTAATATTTTTTTTTTATTTCCAAATAACGACTCGACGAAAAAATAATTTTATTTTCTGAAACGCCGGCATTATGTATGCATTAATAAAATACTTTTCGGCATGTTTTAAATAAGTTCAAAATCTGGAGCGGAGTTATAATTGCAAATTATTATAATTTTAAATGAAGATTATGAAAACCACTCAAAAACTGGAATTTATTCACCTACCCGTTCATTCGCGGAGCGAATTGTTCGGTCGGAAGGACTCCTCGCTCTGTTCATCCGTACGAATATATTATAATTAATTTTTATAATTCGGCTTTGTTAATTGCTTTATGCGACCGACCGGAACGAAAATCGGTACAACGATTCATTTACAGCGGCTAAAAAAGTACTACATAAGGAGCAAGTGCAACGCGATAAAAAAGTTAACGGTTTTGAAACGATCGTACGCGTTGTATTCAGTCGGTGCAAATGACTTTGTAGGCACAGCAAAATAGAAAACGTTCAAACGTAACAAAAACAAACGATAAATGGCGAAACGGAAGTCGGACAAAGTCATTCGAAACATCTCGTAACGTATGGTGAGAAGAGCTCGTCATGGCAAAGGCCGGGCGGGCCGAGAACGAACAAAACGTACGTCCGCGTTAATTAATGGTATTCCGTCGCAGGAGAAACGTAAGCCTTTGCAGTCGGCCAACGCAAAACGGCCGGTGTCTTTAACCAATGACTTTTGGCCGACCACAGTTTGGACAAAACCACACGAGTCGGGCAACGCTGACAGGTCGCGTCTGTTGGCCGGCGCGCCCCGTTGTTATTGTAAACGCTGAACGGTGAAAATCGTTATTGGATTTGCAGAGGGCAAATGTCGAATTTATGACGTCACGGTCGTGTCACCGCGTAAAAGTCGTCTCGACGGGTAAACAATTATTGGCCGCGTGTACGACAAGACGCCGGTGACAAAGTTAGAATGGCCGTACGCCCAACATGGACGTGTGTTGGGTTTCCGAGTGGAAACGAATAGGAAAAGTTGTAATGCGGCGGCCTCGTATATCGTGTACGCGCATAAAGTTTACTCCGTTCGGGTACGCAAAGTTGTTTTGTTTACCTTTGGACGAATGAAGAACGAACGCGTTCGCTGCTGTTTTACAACCGGTCGCACACACTCGACACGGTAACGCTCAGGCGAATATGTCTGGGGAACTTTGCCGGCCAAAATAGAAAAAATTATGTAATACTTTTACGTGCCGGAGCGCTCGGAAAAACGAACCCGGAGGGCAATTGGATGCGTCCATTTAACGAATCGTACAAACGTTGTTATCGTTCCGAGAAAACGAACCGAGCGACGATGATTATATTTATTATTATTATTATTGTTGTTGTTGTGCAACGTCGTCGTCGCGTCGGCCACTGAAAAATACGTATCCGGAATACTGAAGATATTTGCCGGCTGTAAAATCAGAGTTCGGCCGCATGTGCTCCTCCGCAATTGCCTCTGCGAAAACCCGACGGCGGCCAACGCGCGCTGGAATTCGGTAACCCCGCCGGCACTTACCGTTCGCCCTACGCGCCCGCCGTCAATTTCTCAGTTGATTTCTTTGGGTTTTTATCGCAACGAGAATTCGGATGGCGGCCGCTGGCCATTTATGAACAGGGGTAACATTATCCGGCAATAGCGTAACGGGCACATAAAAAGCATAACAACCGCAAATCCATCCCCGTGGCCATCGGTTCTCTGCTCGTAAAATGCATAAAACGGCGTAACCGCAATTACAATTTTTTTACCAACTGTAGTATTTTATCGGGCGGCCGTCGGACGCAATACGATTCGGCGTTATACACCCCCGCGTCGGCCGTACAATATGTGGTGGTACAGTACGGTTATTATTTTTATTTATTTCACTAGGGCCCGATTCGATATATTTTTTTATGCCATTACGACGCGCTAAGGTTGTAACGACGACGGGGCGCGCTGTTGTATTTAATTCACGGCCGTGGGCTTAATGACGAATTAAATTTTTGTTTTCGTCGTGCGGTGGCACCCCCTTTTCCGAATCCCTCGTAACCAATCGGCGGGGCGGAACGACAGAGAAAAATAGATAATCAATCATCTCTGTGCAGTCCGGCCGGCGGAATTTGTTTGTCGTGGGCATCGTCGCCACCATCTGGTGAAATAAATTAACTGAATATAATATTCAGAATAAATAAGCGTCCACGAGCGCTATGCTTTACAGCTTAATCTTTTTAGTTTTAGTTGGACGTAATCGGAAAATTATTAAACAGTGGCAGTAGGCAGGAAAATATATATATATACTTATATCCCGTCAACGCGGTCTGGGTAAATCGTAAGCAGTAAAAAAACTACCCTAATCTGTTACTGTAAAGTTTAACGGAATATTATTTTAACGGCGTTTTAAGAAAGAAAAAACTATTCAAACTTCTGCCTTTTTTTTTTCCAGACACTCGAATCGCTTATTGGTCCTTTTCATACAACTGTACAATTCCAATATTATTATAATAAATCTATCGGAAACGTTTCAAGTTCGAAACAAACAGCGATATTAATTAGCTAAAACAAAGAACTAAAAAAAATAAATCGTAACACTCTAGCAATAAAACACTTCTAGAGGATAAAACGCAACTCTAATATACCTATCGTTATAGTTACATTAGATTTATCAGTTTAATTACTAGTACTATATTAAACAAACTAAAATTATGTGTGTGTGTAGGTATGTATAAATATTATCGTTTACTCCAATGAATTACAATCTAAAATATTTGTCTAATATTAATAACATCTAAATATTAATTGTTTTACTACCATTATAAAATTCATTACAAAAAAAAAAAACAATGTATCTTTATAAATACATAACGTAGTACACTATTACAATATCTATGAATTCATTTAATCTAACACACTGTAAAAAATATTTAACCGAGTTGTACACAATCGATTTCAATCACGTCCAGTAGATCAAACGCGTCAAATGTTTCTATTTGCATTGAATCGGATGATTAACTTAAATTTTTATCTTTTTAAAACAATTGCAATTCGTACGGGATGAGATTTGTTCATTGTAATATAAATCGGAAGTGTACAAAATGATTATTGAGATTAAAGTATTTAAAGCTAAAATAGTACAACAGTATAAACGGTACAATAGTAATGAAGTATAACACTACTCATACAAAATAATTGAATAATACTCAACTACGTTTAAAGTCTGGCCAAGAACTGTGCCGGTACACGTGGACTGTTTACTTTCATAAGCATATATACTCAACCGCTTTCTAAATTCGATTAAACTTTAACTTTTCAATTATTCCGAGAGATGGAATGAAACACTGATAAAACTTAAACGTATACGCGGCGCAAAGTTATTCGCCAGACTTTAATTCCTCTTTCCCTCTACGTTGACTAGTTTTGTTATTACAAACAGAAACAATACACGAGGAGGGGACGAGCAACGACATACATTTGTATTATTTGCTAAAAGAAAAATAATAATACAAAAAATACGTTTATATACGTTTACATAAATAAAATTTCGATATTGAATATTTACTCGTGAGCGTGTCTATAAATCTGAGAGCACAAACAGCCAGGAAACATCTGGACTTTTTTCATGCGGCCAAACACTTCCGGCGAGAAAGGTAAGTATGGCTAAGCACCTATATATTGCTCCTGCGTGTGTATATGTATACACAAGATCGGATATTATTATTATTATTATTATAGATGCGAAGGAATGGTAATAGTCGAGTGTAGTACCACTGGAAATATCCGAGCGATCGTTTAAGGAACATATCGAGAGATACCCACTGCGATTTCCGTCTCTCGTTCGAGTTGGTAAAATCCAGTAAAAAAAAAGAACATTTGTTTGAAAAGGAAAGCTAACGAATATGTGTCCAAGACTCATCAATCTTAATGCAAACTGTACACGGTGTTTTAATGGGATAGTTTACCAAACGTTATCGGACGGTGTACACTTTCAAGTGGTACGATATTAATAATAATAATAATAATAATATAATGTAATCTATGTGCACACAAATCAACTATATGGTGCTCTACTATAATAGTGGTTGCGTGGATAAAATAATAATTACACCGTTCGCTAAAACAACATAATACACTAATCGTTTTTATGGCAGCCAATGATAATAAATATAACGTCGATACTGCACGGGGGCCGTAGTACAAAACGGTTGACCGCAGGTGGAAGATAATATCGTGTATACTTCTAAAGCCTCGACCAGATATTCCAGTGTAGTGTTATTTTACTAATTCCATGTAAATACATGTAAAAGAACAACGTAAGCATTTTATAACGATAATAAAAGTTACTGTTAGTCGCCAAACTGCGAATATACACACACGCATAAGGCGATCTCGTCTACACTATATATATATATATATATTAGGTATCAAATACGTATTAATTTGAAAACAAAGTAAAAAATAAATAAATGAAAATATTTGTTGAGATTTACCGTTATGGCATTGAGCCGGAGTAATACCGCAACGAGGTCTGGTCCCAATTATAGCGACCCCTACAAATCGTTACAAAAAAAAAACAACTTTGATAACATGTCATTGAGTGATGATAAATAGAGTATATTGATTTTAATGTAAAAATGATTATTTCGTTTTAATTAATGATTAACTACCATTTCTAAATACCAACAGGAGTGTGTAGCTAATTTAATTATTAATGTTATGTACGTCAAGTCATTAAAGTAAATGGTTTATTATAACATCAGAGTCTACCTAAATTACATTAGTATTACAGCTCCTGTAGACATACTGATTAAGCCTATTATAGCATACTAAGCATATAGTAAACATTATAAAATTTGTTTGCCAGCAAACACTAAATTTGAGTTTTAGGGTTGTTGATACCTAAGAGCCTCGCCGTTGATTTCAATTACAAATTTATTAGTCCACGGAATGGATGAGTCTTTGGCAACAAATTAAAAAAAAATATTTCACATATATTCTACATGAATTAAAACATTGTTTTTTTTTTCATTAATATTATCAATAATTTATTTTCAATTANTATATATATATATATATATATATAATATAATGTATATGAGATATTACAATATAATTATTTTAATACAAACATAAAGTACATAGTAATACTTAAATGTTTAATATAATTAATTAATTAACAGCGATAACTCAAAATTGAGTATCATTAATTTAACAGTAATATTCTTAATAATAAGTTTTTAATAAAATGGGGTTTTTTTCGGGCTTAATACTAATTTATTGCTGATTAATTTCAATCAAGTCTAAAGAAAATTATTTGTTATAGATCACATATTAATAATAAAAAAAATTTAATTAACCATTTTTTCCAAATAAAATTTTTATTATAAAATATTGACTATTATCAAACAAAAAATATGTCTATAATATTGAAAAGTTTTCTGAAATTATATCACTCTTTTAAATATTTTATTTGATTGAAACCCCATTTAGTTATTAAATCAAAAAAATAATGTCAAGTATAATTAAATACCGAATTGTTGGTAACAAACATAATAACATAGCTTTAATGTCGAAAAGCAATACAAAAAAAAATAAATAAATAAATAATTAAATATCGATTTATACAAATAAATTAAACGGTGGACAAAGGTATTTGTATTTATCACAGAATGTTTGATTAATTATTTTTCAATTATTTGTGATATTAAGTTAAAACCGATATGATTGACTCAGATTTTGGTGGACATAAAAATTTCCAAAACGCACTTAAAGGGGAGACGTGATAAATAAGTAACAAAAAGATCATATGGAAGAAAAATGTTTGATTGAAAAATATACAAACAAAATTTCGACATATTTACACACACACATTTCTATAATGTAAAAATTAGTTTCCACATCTATGATCATAGTCTAAATTAAGATTTGTACAAATAATATTTATTTTTTCCTAACAAACACCAGACTTATATTCTTGACTATATTAAACACTAATAGACAATTAGGTAAAGATTGCTAATACAAATTGATTTAGGAAAAATGACTATATAATAATATAATTTTTTTTGGTTTTTTTTTTTATAAACAATAAACCTACGAATAAACCTAAACCTTATGTATTCATAATTTTCAACCGAGAAGTTTTATTTCTACAGTTCATTGATTAATCGAAGCGAAAAAAAAAACCTACAGTTAATATTACAAAGAGATATCATCAGTTTTATGACTGCACTAAAAAAAAATAATTTATTTATATAATTTACTCGCAAAATAATTCATTATTACAAAAAAAAAAAAATATGTGTGAACGGTACTCGTATTAGTGAGTTTTGAATCACATAGGAAACACAAACAAGTGGACAATTATATTGTCGACTGATAGTAATTTATGTACAATAAAACAATAACAATGAAAATCATAAAACCAATAACCGTATTAAAATTGGAAGCATGACGTTTGTGGACATACCGCCGGCGGTAGTGTATAAAATATAATATTAACAGCGGTAGCCATTAAAACACATTACAAAAAACAATAATTTTACACAAAAATAAATACAACGTTTACACAGTATCATAAAAAATATATAAAGAAAAATATTAATAAGCGTACAGACACAATACAAGATTCGATGTGATTATAAAAAAAGAAATGTTTATAATTTTGATATTTATGAATGGTCGAATTGTTCATTAGCGTTTCATTAACCGTCCCGCCGTGTGTTCCCGGACCGAAAAATTATTCACAACAATGTTCAATTTTCAAGTTTAATTAATACATTTTTACGAAAAAAAAAAAAAAAATTAATTTATTATTGTCCTTGTTCGAATTCATTTGTGGGAGGCCTCTCGGGCAACAAACATAATTTAAAGCCAACGCACCCGGTTAAATATTAATAGCTTATAATTATTATAGAAGCGTTAATATGTAATTGGCCGTTTCCCATTTTTGTAACAGTAATTATTATACACAATAGCAATAATAACAGCGAACTTTGGCAGTGGATAGTGATCATTATGCGGGTGGTGTTTCGGCCCGGGACGAGCGGATTTTCAGCCAAATATATTATTATTACTATTATTGTTGGTAAGGCAACAATATTATAATTGGGGTAGAAAAAATTATTAATAATCATATTATGTGTTCACAGAGGCATGGCATGCATATAGAAGGGATGGGTGTTGTGGTGATTGTGGTGATGGTCAAGCAGTGCGGGAAAAGGAAGCACAGTCAACTGCGAGTGGTTATTACCTGCTGGATATGAAAGTCCGAAACTAGGGTAACCAGAGAAACCTCGACTGGAGGCATATGCAGCGTACGCAGCCGCTGGAAAACCTAAACAAATAAATACATATGTGCATTAGTATAAACAATAGGCAGCACTAATTAAACAATGGGTGCCGATTTCAAAGTAGGTACTACTTTGAAATTGGTATGACACAACGAGCGATTGACAACTTGTAACAGTTACGGTTTTTCTAGTAAATTTGTTCATCAACGTTACGTATAATAAAAAATGGCAACGTAATATTAAACGGTTTGTCTTGTATGATATAACGGTAAATTTTAATGATTCTCCCCTTGTAATTTAATCATATCGTTAAAACTTTTGCTTTGAAGTGTGGAAATCAACTATAAAGTGTCGTCAAATATTTGAAATTAAATTTTGGTAATCAAATTACCCGGAGAGCTTTCACGAGTCCGGTGAACTCGCAAAAGTAATTCTTTGAAAAGATGGTAAAGCAACACTTGTTATAAACAAAATTGATGGGAAAATGTTTGGCAAACCGAAAATCGTTTCACTGTACCCGCGAGAGCAGTGCGCGATTTCTACGACAAAACGGTTTGGAATTCGGGTGATAAAATTTGAAAAGCATTTCAGCGTGACATAGAGACATTACTGAAGATAAATAATGGCTTTTCTTGGCAGTGCCGAGACCATGTAACAGCCTATTCCGCCCAGTGTTTTCCTACCGAAGATTGATATCGCGAATTCATTATGGCGATTCGTCGTCGCCCGTCCATATCGCTCGTGATTCTTGCGGCCAAAAAATTCAAACGCGCGAGGGATGAACACCGATATTTTTTTTATTTATGTACATATCCCATCCATCTACACCGAAAGTACGTCAAAAAAGACAGTAATGCCTACGGGTGGACCGAGACGAGATGATCATCCGTCTTTGCAGCAACTGTCGCTGAATGTTTGAACGTACACGAATCCATTTGTCGGATAAACGTGTACATGTATAGGTACACAGAAGTACGCATTGAAAAAACTACCGCGTTCTTTCTGTAGCGTTTTCGGGAAAAGTGACAAGGGGCTTAAAAACGAGAGAGAGAGAGAGAGAGAGACTCGGACGGCGGCTGACAAAGTTATTATCCGTAATTAAAAATGGCTCCAGAATAGTAGTTTTTTTTTTTTTTGTCCCTCGCTACCCTAAGTGCGCGGCTAAACAAAAGGCTCCGTAATGTGTACAGACAACTTTTCGTCGTTCGTTTAACAATAGCGAGTTAAATTTTTTTTAGAAAAAAAAAGAAACCAAATGTACCCTGAACTTTTATAACGCAACACATAAGAGACGTCAGCGTTGGAATGTTATTAATTATGAACGAAATAAATCGTTTCGACAACACTCGTATTGAACGAATTAATTGTACGACGATGGGACCGACCGTTGCCACCGCCGGACACGATAAAGGAATTAGTCGTGTCTTAGGATAATTTGTTATGCGCGAACTCGGCACGGCGTGTGTCAGGCCTTTGCACCGACGCTCTCCCCGCGTGCGTAGGGGACGCGAGAGGGGCGGTACCGTATCATTTGTCACTGTCTGAGACCCATCTCCCCCATTACACTCGTTCGCCGATTTACCAATCAGCCCCAGTCTCTTACGGTCTCTATTGTACGATATGTGCGAGCTCGCCCCTTCCATCTCCTCGCCCTCCACTGTCGCGGCCGAGTCGGGTCGCATTGTTTATTATTTTGTAACGACCAAGCACATCAGTCTCGGCATGATGTGTTACTAATGACGGAGAAGTCGTACATGCCCGTTAAATTTTAACCAATTAATGATTTCCACACGGCGCATAGGTACCGTCGGATTAAATTAAATTAAAAACTTCCAAACGATTAGATACTCACCATCGGGCAAGGTTCCCAGTGGCCACATGAAATCTAAAAACAAAAATAAAAAGTAACAAAAATTAGTCAACACACGTAATTGAGTTTTTATTTACACAAAAAAAAAACATCAACGTTGTTAATTTTTCAAATAAATTCACTATTATTGTTATTTAGCATCATTTTTTTAAATATCCCACTGTTATTTATAACTTAGCGTTTGGACGGACGACCGAGTAGTACATTTTTTAGTTGCATCGCTTGACCGTAAGGTCGAAAATCTGACTAGTATTGGGTACGATTTTTTGTCCGCGAGAGCTTTAAAGACTACTCTACTACTATTTTATTAAAAAAAAATAATAATAATAACTCTAAAAATGTTAAGAGTGTTACCATAACGAGTTTATCTATATTTTTCGATAGAAAAAATCCTACTTCAACACAAGCGATCGAATGCGTTTTAAGAATTCTAAAAATATTTGTAGAGATAGAAAAAAAAACTGCACATGTAATATATTTAAATTGAAAAACAAAAACTATATTGTTACCTAAGAAACTAACTTTATTTTATTCAAATAAAATTATTTATCGGTCGGTTAGCTCTAAAGCAATTTCGTACGAAAATAAACGCTAACTAGTCCAATGGAAACGTTGGGAAGTAATTGATTAAAAAACTACTAACAGTAATACAGTAGTAGTGATTTTTATAGTTTTTAAACTAACGTTGTATAGATATCTAAAGTGATCAGTTACATTTTTTACTAAACATAATAATTATGTCGAAATTACTTCTATACAATTAATGAAAAAAATTAGCTAAATGACTAATAGCTAATATTACTTTGCTAATATACTTTGAATGATTTAATTACGATGTTTTACAATAATGCATCAATTCAATTATTACAATACGACAACTGTACGGTAACTAATAAAAGTATTTCTCTACGGAGAAACTAATAAAAAAATTATCCTGTTGGATATATTAATATCGTTTTACAAGGTGGCACGTGTGAGTTCTAATACACCAGGCAAACCTGTCAGCCGCTGTGTGGCCCCAGTCTATAACTCGGACAGGTGATGGAGTTTAGACCAGATAGAAATATAGTATTTTTTTAAAGCGCCAAAAGTATATTGATCGGGTTTTGGCAACGGCTTAAAATGCCTTGGAGAATATAAGCCGATTAATGTCAGTCAGTATGGCGAGAAATCTTATATAAATGTGTTTGGTCCGTTAAACGATGTACATTCTTAACAAAAGCCACGCTATTATTTTTATACGCTACCGCAACACAGATAGTAATAATAATAATAATAATATGTATTACAATCTATGAATCTATACAATCGTGTTAACATGGCAAAAAGTGTGCGATGGCTGCCACACTGACATTAATATTTTGGAATAAAAACGTTCACAGATTTTGCGGGAACGCTTAGAGAATACTCGACGTTTAATTACACGAGAAAACGCGGATTGAAGAACATAGAAATACAACATTTTCAACTCATTAAAAACATGAATAAACCGTTTGAATGTTTTGGATTTCTGCAGACGGCGAGTTACCCAGAGTCATTTAAAATTTTATTAAGGTTTTTAAAAAAAAAAAAACACTCGAGACACGAACGATAAGAAAGTACTAACCATTACATAATTATAATAATTAATATTAATAGTCCGAACAAAATCCGGTAAAGAATGTGCGTTGTAATTACGTTAGAAAACTCAATTGGAGAGATAACTATGGAACATCTTGACGCAAAAAAATAAAATATTTCATGGGCTCATTGGACACGGTGTTGCGCAATAATATTATAATATGTTGCGACACGCTTTTGTTCGATTGTCATTATTAAATTACCGTCTGGCTGAAACCTCCGAGGAATTCGCTGACTCGATCGTTCGAACGGCCACCACATTTAAATCGTACAACTGACTAGCTGAGACCACAAATTTGCAATAATTTCAACGATAAACCATTCGTAACAAATTTAACGGAATTATCCTACACAAACTAGTCTACTCTATTGCTTCAATGATATAATAATAGTAGTCGTAATTCAACTGGTTATACGCTAATTTATATAGATTAATTATAATAGGAACTTAATTAGTTGTCATTCGTCAGACTCGTCAATACCGCTAAGATCACAACAATACTTAATTTTCAAATATAATAAATACAAATAAAAATCTGTGACATAAATTAATTTACTCTACTTGGAATTTACTCAACAACGGTAAAAATATACAAATACAAATAATTTTTAAATCGTCAACAAATACCAACAATGTAGCAGGCCACATCAGACATTGATAACTTACTGTTCTATAGTACATCCACAATTTGGTCGGGTTAACATGGGCCGCAATAGAACAATAGTTTGGTTTTCGCTACACGAGTCCCAAAGCTCTCCCGGAATTAACAAATGCACACACAAAGATAAAATTTAATAAACTGTTCGGATTAGAAATATAATTTATGAAAAATAACGTGCGTTTTATTTAGTCGGCAACACATAAGTCTCATTACGGTTTAATTTTGTTATACGTGATAGGCGAAAGTTAACAACGATACAGTTTGGAAAGGAATTCTATTTACTAATTGTGCATAATTTTATTCACAACAAATGCGTTAGGGTTATTATGTGTTTAGTTTGTTTAAAATGCTATCGGTATGGACTGATAAAGGCCCGAAGGCATTTCGACGGCCGCAGTGCCACCACCGTGCACAGCAAAAGCCAAGCCGTCGGCCGTAGACACGTTGAAAGCGGTTATCGGTTGAGCCGGATGGTTGACGGGCAACCGGTGAACGGCACCACCAGCACCGTTACCGCCGCCTCCGCCGGTCACGGCGTACAGGCGTTTGCACGCGGCTGCCGCTTGCATTGCACTGATCACTGGTAAGCCGGCGTGAACCAATCCGGCCGGCTGTTGCTGCTGGTGCTGATGGTGTTGATGGTTGTGCGGAAAGTGATGTGGTGGTGCTGGTAGCGGATACGGGGCAAATCGGTAACCGAGCGGGGCGGGTGCCGTGGAATGTGCCGCCATGACCGCGGCTGTCGACGTATGGAGATTGTGAGCGTTGGCCGCGGCCGCCACGGCAGCTGCGGCCGCCGCACTCGACATCGGCGTCCCGGACGACGGCAACGCGTGCCGTTGGTATTGATGTTGATGACAAACGTGAGAGCACGGGCCCCCAACACACGTTCCCGCACCGGGTTTTTTTAATATAATTAACTCACCGTATGTGCCACGGCCCGCTGCACGCGTTTTCGCCAGGTTCGCTGGCAACATGACTTCTTTTGGTTGTGCCTTTTTGCACTCCACCTGCAAAATAAAAAATCAGTTAATATTTTCTTTAGATATTATTGATAAAAAATGTTCATTGAATAATTTCTATGAAGACTTGCACAGCCTTTACCATCGCATTATTCACTTTATTAACGTATCGCCATTCGACTTGTAATGAAATGCATTAAGTTATAACGCGTTTATGGCATTTTATAACAAAAACATTTAAAAACTCCGGTTTTCTCAAAGAGCCCATTTAAAATTTAACTTATGAAATTTTCACGACGGCTTTTGATATGTATGTTAATAGTTTTTTTACGTTAGCTACCTTAATACGATTGGAAAATAAGATTAACCTTTGCAATTCGTGATTAATAAACTGATGACTTGATATTTTAAATTGTTGATGTCGTGATATATTTTTATACATCAGAACTAAAGAAACATTCACAAAATTCATGTTCTCATCTCACATACGTTTTTACATTAATAGTGGCTGAGGTTATAATGCAAAAAAAAATAGTCGTTATAACAACACTCTTAAGGATTTTCCCAACTAAATATCTCTTAAGATAAATATAACTTATAGATAGCCGACGATATCTTATTGGAATAGTCGAGACCGCTAAATATATTTTAACGAACGGTTGTTTTCGTAGATTAAATTCCACGAAGCATTTGAAAGAGGTCTTTTGGGAGTAACCCGATAAAAGCTTGTTTGGCAACTACTTGGGCTACCTACAAATATTATAATAATAATTCGTGGGTTATTATTATCATCCGCATTATTTAATTGTGTGCCACGTATACCTAAGCGTGTTTACTGGAGCTTTAATATTACACGTGATTGCATTAGCACGAATGGTCTTTGTGATGATCTTAATGAACTGAAATAATTTCTATAACTCAATGGATCATGTATTTAGTTACAAGAGAATCTAAAATGACACGAGGGACTAATTATCATTGTCTGACGAAATTTCTATGACGTGTAGACTCATAGTAATACTTATTAGGCGATAACCTGTTTAGTAGAACATTGTAATTTTACTCTAATGAATGGGATGGCGAGGACAATGTCAATGATGAGGCTCAAGTTACGGAAGCTACAGCAAATTCTATTTTCCAGGTCTACTCGGCATTACCACATCGTTCATACCATAGAACTATTGCCCAAAACAATATTATAATAATGATAATCACATTACACATGGATATTACGCCTACAAGAGCATTGAAATCGACCGCCAACGTTTATTTTTCCTCTATGCCAGCAATATTATTTTCACTCGGGCAAAAAAATAATGCAAAATTGTAATTGCTAATCGATCCAGCGTCGTCAACGACTTTCGTTCAACGACACAAGAGAAAAAATTGCACAAACTGCACAATAGTAGTTGCAATACGATAATATATTACGAAATATAAAATCGTACATACATTTTTTATTTACTCACTAGTTATATTAGTATTTCATAATGGAAAAATTCGTTTATCAACGACTTGTTGATGATAGTTTAGGAAAGTACACCGGGAATGTAAAATTTAATTCAGAATGAAAAAAATCGGTATTTCATAAGTATGAAAAGGGATGATGTTTTTGATTGAAAAGTTATTGTGTTAGAGATAGATATGTATATCAAATGCAGCGTAGTAATACATCTGTAAAATAAATTATATTTATCTCATATTGTTATTGGATGGCTAAATTCGATTTTATGATAATGCCCACGCACAATTGTGTTTTCCAAAGAAAGAACAAAAATATCTATTATGCTAAGAAGATTACATTCAAGTACTTGCGCATATATATATATATATATATTTACTTATACAAAATGAATATCCGGAATTCATTGACATACAAAGTTGTGTTTGATATTAGTCGGCTATCATCTATCATACAGATCACCGACACCGGTCCATTATTCATACGACCGAATGTTTGCGCTGTTATTTTTCGATAAAGGATTCTGCGACCACTAAAAAGGTCATTCATACAATTTTTCTCCCTCCGCCACTTTTGATACTATTCCCATATTTTTTTCTCGTGTCTTTGTGTTTTGGCATCATTGGAGTAACATTAAACTTCCGTACCGCAGGGACAACGTGCGTTTGTATTTCATGACAACCAGACTGGAAATTCTACTTTAATAACAATGATTGTCTGTTTTTCCCCTATGACTGGCCATGGCAGTTTTTATGGTGACCGCTTGTCGACCATCCATAGGATTGGACCAGTAACAATATTATTTTATTCTACTCTACAGGTCATAAGTTCCGTTATTATTATCGTCATAGTCGATTTTGTGGGAAATTATCAATTTCAATAATACTAGAAAATAGTCTACACGGAATCATTTATTTTCGGAGAGTAGCTCTTTAGTAGATTGTCCAGTAAACAATATAATAAAAATATATTTGCGAAATCAATCTAAATTATTAATTTTAAATTGGTTGAATGTAAATGATTTATGAGTGATCATTTACAAATATCCGATTGCAAGATTTTCAAACGTCAAATCATATCGAAGAATCCCAATGTGATTACGGGTGACCTTACATTTGACGTTTTTATTTGATTGAAACGAAACAAAAAATAGAGCTTTTACCTCGACTGTTTCTCCAAAAATCTTGCCTACGTGGCCAAATATATATACACGTCTGTGTCCGGCAAATAGCAGGTAAAACGCATTTTGTGTAAAAAAAAATAGAAACATTACGAAGTATTATGAATGTTGACCTTACGGCCTGAAATTCGTCTAATACGAGACAGTGTCATACGATTACACAGAAATTCTAAAATTAGTTAAAAAAAAAAATAATAACAATAAGTTTTAAATTATAAATCATTATACCAATAAAATACAATAATTTGATTAAAAAAAATGCTCATATTGATTAAAAACAAATTGTTCAATGCTAAGAAAAGAAAAACAAAATTGGATTTTTTATCATTATTTATAAAATAAAATCTTAATACAATGAAAAATGAATAATTTATTTATTTCATCAGTATTCGTAATACAGTATTTTTTTTTTATGATAAATACATCTTGGCGATTTTTGTTTGAAATTTATTTTCTTAGGAAAGATAAGTAAAAAAATTACATCAATCATTACAAAATTCAATTTGATACGCAATCATTATAACTCAAACCCGAAGTAATATCGTAAAATTCAGTCATTATAAAGGTCAAGTAGCAGTGGAAAAAAAATGCTAACAATCACACGCACAGAAAACGGGAAAAAATTGTAGTACATTTTTTATAAAGGAAATAAAAAAATGTTAATATTACACACAAGCCTTCTTTCTTGCTTTATTCAAGTACAGTGTCTTGTTAACGAGGAACATTTTATAAAAAATACCGACTTTGATGACATTCCGTTCGAGTACTTGAAAGTAAATTTATGTTTTCAGCAAGTACAATCAATTGAAAACAAGGTTGATCCCACAAGAACAATGAGAGACAAGTATTGTTATTATTTTTTATTTTTCAACACGTTCACCGACGTATGCGACGACATAAATATTATTTTGTTGAACTTACAGTTCAAATAGAATTTTACTAAAACAAATATATTTATTCACCCCTGTAACAGTTTTAACATGAGCAACCATATTGTTTTAAGTAACCGGAGCTTAATTTTCATAAATTTTGATAAAAACAAAAGCCGACACAAATGGGGTCAGCGACAATCGACGGCAATCTAACGTTTATTTTTAACTACTGAATTTATATATACATTTTTTTTATCCCGCAACAGGAACAACCATTAACGAAAAATAATTTAAAATACAGCTATGCAATATTTGGGCCTTTTTTTTAATTACTAAACGGTCAGAGTTTCCGACATATTTACATATTATTGTTGTAATATATGTGCAGAGTGTATGTTTAACCCGGCAGCTCTTATGCGTGTATGTACATGTATTTTACACATTTGTAGCGCTGAAGTAATGTCAAATAGGAAGATTAATTATTTTCAATTCGATCGGAACGCGTCGATAAGGTCCCCTTCTTTCCCGTTCACCAACTGTCACTTCGCTTAGTAGTTCATCGGAAAGCACATCGACAGCGGCGGCAGTGTAAAATTAAATTAACCCTTCGAAAAACATTAAAGCCCAGACTAAATATTAATTACCGGAAAACAATTAATTGCGCACATTAGCTCTGGACACCCGCATCGACTGATCTGCCACACAACCATCGGCTCACCAACCGTTCTAACCTGCAGTGTAATATACTCAGAATTCTGCAACTACTATCATCGTTCAAACCATTCGGCCGTTTTGTGGAGATTAAAACAATTCCATCGAGGCCTTTACCTTCCACATGCCTCCGGTGCTTTTTTGTTAAAAAAAAAAAAAAAAAATGAATCCGTGCGCTATAAAAATAATATAATGAATACTCCGAGCAGTCTATACTAATAACCCACACGAGTGCAACCCTTTCCAAATGATTAGTGTGCGTTCGACGGCGGTGGTGGTGTTGGTGGCGGTAAAGACCACTCGATCTTCAGTTAATGCTCTTATGCATTAATAACTCGTTACGGCAAATTCTGTGCTTTAATTCCTTTTTTTTTTTCGAACCGCGACACGACTTTTAAAGCCAAAATTTGCAACTAGCACACCGTTTCCCCATACTAAATCACTGTGCGCCGGTTAAGTAAATATAAAAAAAAGTCAATTTTGTTGGTTTCGCATAATCAGGTCATGTGCATGTGCCGCACACAGCGATCGCTGTACGTTGCAACAATACTCGACTGCGGTGGGAGACCACTGCTCGAGTTCTACTCACTCGCTGTGTACTAATATATGTGCCACGTTATTAGTGTCACAAACAGGCTGCTGACATCAAACATTTGTACGCATACACAACGACCAGTATATCGAGCTTACAAACGAGAGCCGCTCATTTCCCACTAATTAATGGGACACAGTAACTCGAAAACTGTTTTCGTATTACTCGAGTTTTCGTCCAAAGTAGTTTCAAGTAATTCACGACTTTGAGAGAAACATGTAACAATAGGAGTGTGTTAAATTTTGGAGTTTGTTGTCGTAAAATTTCATTTGACTCGAGAATTTAGATTAGCGGATGATCATAAGAAAATTGAGTATGGACAGTAAATTAAAGCGTGTCGGAATCGTTTAGATGAAAGTATATAATTTCTTGAACATCTTTTGAGCGAAGATAATACGTTTGTTTAATTACTGTTATACGACAACGAGCGACGAAAGTTTACCGGGTAAATTAATCGCAGTCAAACGAATCAACAAACGCCTTTGGGTTCCACAATAATGTACTTAACTCCGGCGCTCCAACAATGCGACGGAAATTCTCTTTAGAATAATTATTTCTGCTTTGCACCGCCGTCGTCGACCGCGTAATTAACTCAAATGGTTAAAATGCGTACGCCGAACGAGTGTATTTTTACACACAATAATAACGTACGTACATTTTACGGTTCTCCGAGAGAGACGACACGACCGCGAGAGTTTACGATCGTTTTTGAGTGGGTATTATACGAGAAAATTATATATTCAAATACTTAAATAAAATACCACCAACCGTAAGAAGATTACAACAATTACCGTCGGGGTCTTGGATATAAGTTGTTCCATTTTTTAGAAATTAGGTTAGAGTGATAGATAATGCCTACGCGCACTCGGTATTTGGAAAATGAATCATCTTGGGAAATGGCACAACTTTCCATTCATGCGGTTTAGCTTTAGTGAAACAATTATTTTTGACAGACTCTCGTCTTCCCCTTAAACGCGGACGTGCACTTACCATTTTACTGTTGATTTCGTGGAAATGTATTTCACAGACTTTATCTACGACGTCTTCCGAGTGAAACGTCACGAAACCGAATCCTGAAAAAGAAAAAAAACGGTTCATAAATAAAACATGATAAGCAACATAGCATATAAATAGCACACGCGATGCATACGACATCGCGGTATACTATGAATGTAATTGGCTCTCTAGGCGCGTTCAGCTGGCGTAATGCTAATTTTTACGCCGATTGAAAACTGAAGTGGACCTTTTCAATAATATGTACTCATTACGGATAAATTATATAAATATTTCCTAGTCTACTACCGGTGCCCGTGAAAATTACCAACTACAACCAATGTACTCGTTAGAAATAACACCCTCCTACTAAGCTGCTCTGTGTAAAACCGTCTATAATTTTTCCACTCAAATTGTACGCCGAGGTGATTAACGCTACCATCGATAACGTTAATTATTTCAATTAATTCCCCGTCCTTGGTACACCATTATTATATTACTATATAACACCACATCGTACTGACTAAGTGGTTAATTAAATTGTCGTTATTATTGCGATCATATCGTGTAATTTAAGAGTAGGCCTTAACGTGGGGTCCTTGACGTTGAATGCAAATTAGTCTTCAGTGGTTTATATTTGAGCTCGTCGGCCTAGCGACTTAGCAGAACGGCGAGATAGACTACATTATTAACTTTATGACTGAATGAGTGTTTAAATAACTCTTCGACTCCATTCATCAAAATAACATAAGCAAATTTATTTACGTCAAAATAATAAACAACCTGCCTAAGTGATCGTAAGAGGCTTTGTTATTATTTGAATATTTCAACTGTAATTTAATAACATTTCTGCGCGTATTATTATTATTATTATTATTTTGTATAAACAAATGAAGATTGGAAAGTCGTTAATACTTTAAAGACAAACGGAGGAGTTTATTTATGTTATCATATCTCAGATACCAATTTAGAAAATCGCAACGATAGTTAACCAAAAAAAAAAAAAAATTAACCGTAATTAGTTGAAGTGTTAATTATTTAAAGTTAATTCCTGATAATAACGAATTTTTAAGCGCTTATGATTATTAAAAGTTCGGTTATTAGTGAAACGGCGTTCTAGATAGGCAAATTAACAGCTTCGGTGTTCGGCGAGTACTCGTCATGTCGATACGACGAAGTGATTAAATATAATCATGATTGACGACAAAACGCGTTGCAAATATAATTATCAATCTGTTTCATTAATATGTTTTATGACTAAACGAGACCGTTATCTAATTGATATTTCTTGAACTGATAAGAGTTGTTATTTACGAATGGGAAATTAATGTTATCGTGTGCGTGTAACGACATCGTAAAGGATCGTCGTGTAGTCGTTGGCGTGAAGCGGAAGAGTTGCGACAAATGCGCGTTTAGCAATTAAACTTATTTAGCAAATCTCGTTTTGAACCGTGACCCGCCGCTATTTCTACATAATACCAACGCTGCACTCGCCATTATAGTCACGGTGCGTAGAGTTTTTTAGTGCATTGCTACGAAAATGGCTACTGTTTTACGTAAGAAAGCCATACGTTTTCTTCGTTTGTTGGGAAGTTTCCAATTGTAATTAAGGTTTATGTTCAGGGCACCACAGTAGATAAGAAATGGGGGCACGAGCAATAGCTATCACGAGATGCGACAGAAAATGCTAATGAGTTTCGGTTTGTTTTATTTCCGCTTTGTGTCGAAATTAAGTGCCTACGAAATACCGTTTGTGTTTCGTGACCACTGGAGCGCCACCAAAAAACGCCAAGTTAAATGTACGCCGGGCCCATGAGGAAATGTGCAATATGATTTAAACACTGAAAACGAATGGTCGACTGCCACTGCAATATGCTGGACGGTAATACTGACGATACCCGTAGAGTCGAGCCCGGAAATCCATCCGCTGCCATGTCGTTCCAAACGTTTAATCGAATTCGATGGCATAAGGGACTGGCAATCACGTTATACAAAAAATAGAACTGCAGAATGTTTGATTGACGGCGGCACCAGTATAACGCACACGCCATAATTCCTAATGAAAATTACTGCACCGCAGTGATTGCTCTCTCTCTCTCTCTTGTATTTTTTAATAGTAAGCTTCATATTATCATTACTGCCTTGCGAAAACAAACAAGCTCTCAAAGTCTGTGTATATGAATGTGACTGTCATTTTATTGTTATTTATTGTTGACGTCGCTTTTTTTATTGTAATAAAAAAAAAAAAGGATTCTCATCTCAGTGGTTTTTGCAAAAGGTGACAAGAAACAATATTCTAGACATTCAAAATGAATCACACCGATGGTCGCTGTTGTTTTTCAAAGTGTTCAAACTTGTATAATAACAATATGAAAAAAAATTATTGTTATTCGCAACCGCGGCACTCGAATAAAAGATTTCCCATTATTAAAATAATGAAAAAAAATATATATACACGTATAGTGTAGCGAGGCGGTTTTTTTTATACATCTTCATTTTTATGTATTAAATTTCCTAAGGTTTAATGCAATCGGCATGTGGATTAAAACCTTCGTATATCAAAGCAGCAGACGCCGTACTTTTAAAAGTTGCCACAGAAAAGTTATTAAAAACTCGTCGAAACCACTTCGTGACGGCGCGCGAAAAACCTCAGCTCAAATCTTCTTATACATGATATGAGCTTTCTTCTTATTTTTTATCCTCGCCACAACTTGAAAACTAATATATTTTCTTATTTTAATAGTAATGTATGTATACCCACGTGCCTTTTAATATTAAGTTGAACGTCGATATCAAATGAAAATAGACATTTATTTAACCGCTTAGATGACGGAATGGCTATAGGCTGAATTACTGAAACTCACTTCCATAACCAAAGAGGATACAAATTTTCAAATTTTATACAAAAAAAAAAAACCGGGCAATAGAAAGGTAAGAACCCATCGGTCAGTTTATTGCTCGACTTTCTAGGAAATTGTATAGATTTACAGTACTGTTTCAAGTGGTTTTTGTCCGTAAAGGATGCGCGACAAAAGACTACACGTATTGTGTTCACTCTTAGCCGGATGGTAAATGACCCTTATCGTACCGTTAGAGAGAGGAGGTTTCGTTGACAATATCGCCGAACAGAGATTTCTTTTTTCGCGTTAAAGACAATGGGTGTCTTCTTTAAATGTATATAGTATACACACACTGTAAGCATCGAGTCACGTCTGGGTCGGATTAACACACAGCCGAATGGTCTACGATCGTTTACCACGGCCGGTCGACCGTTATTGGACACCGTATTAACAGAACAGAAGCTTTTCTACCAACACGTTAGAGATTAAACTATTGACTGTTGCGTGCCGAATAAATTGCGAAAATACTCTAAAACGTTTTAGCTTAACAACGGCAGGCCACATGTTTTACAATATCGTCCGACGCAATTCGTCCGAGGCTTCCAGTTCGTGAACGAGATTATAGCGGATCGTATCGTTTTGAAACCTTTAATGTGTAACACGCCTAAATGTAAGCTTATTTCCACAATTCAACGGAATGTATTCTGCGTTTGTGCCGCTATGAATCAATGTTAATGCAGTGTCTGCGGAACTTTAAAGGGAGTTGTGGCGCCGTCGACGACCAATGTCTACATAATATTATTATTGTTATCGATGATCATCGAGCTGGTTCGAAATTGTATTCAAGTCGAAAGAGTTTCTAATCGGATCGGAGAAGGCGCACGAAGGACATGTGTATTTTTGCACGGGAAATTGGCCAAAAGAAAACAATGACAACAGCAACGAGACAGCTTTGTCCTTTGGTGCACTTTTATTGTGTTTGACTCGGAGACAATGGATTTTTCGATAAGTATACAATGAAAGAGTCCATACAACACGGTCGTTTTCAAAGAAATATTGATGGAAATTCCGTTCGTGTTGTTATCGTATTACTTTTGTTTCAACTTTGTTGTCAACAACAATGTTTTAAACGGGAAACATTTAAATAATACACAGAATTCGGTCACCACCCCAACCTTACTACCTGCGTTTAATAACATGAGCTTGGAACGCCAACCTTCAGCTGTGAGGTATGGTGGTGGCCGGCAACTTCCCACGCCGCAACTATTATGCGCATACTGTTATTATAATCATTATTATTATTATTGTAATACCGGCACATTCTATTTCGGGCATCTACCGACCGGTATAATTATTTAAATACGACGGCTCGAAAGGTCCGTGCGTGAGTCCGTCCTGCGTTTTATTGCATTTCTATATTTTGACCACGAGGCGTGTACCTTTGACTATAAAGGTAGCGACCGCAAGTTGCGATGATTGTTGTACACACCGGGTTATCAGGTGCACGCGTTGGAATAAACATTACGGCCATTGGTCGAACATAAATGCAACGGCAAGAAAAAACAAATTAAATTATGTACGACGAACGCTGTGCACACTATAACTATAAAAGAAAATCATGAAAAGTTTCCAACCAAAAATAATAGTAATTATTCGTTTATAAACCCAGAAGGTGAAACGGTCGGTAATCGGATTTCTGATATCACAAAGCCTACTAATAATACAAAATGCCCTCGTGTTATTAAACCTAATACACCGAGGTTTTTTTTCATTTAATCGTATCGCTTGACTTGAGTCATATTTTGTGTATAATAGAAAATAAAATGCTAACATGTTTTTTTTTTCATACTCCTGGAATACATTTTTCAGTAACATGATTTCGAAAAAAAATAAAAATTATATTACATTTCCTCCAATTCATATTCTAATATTATTGTAATTGCACAATGTAACTATCATGTGTAGCTAAGGGCGAAGAGCCGGTCAGTGAATCTTAAAAGTATTCGTATTTTGTTTAGAAAATAAAATTAAGTTATGGATAGTAATATTATTTAAATGATGTAGAAATCGGAAATGTCCTGATGTCAATCACTAGCAAAATGTGTAAAATCAACTCGGTACGATTTCTATAATATACAAAATAAGCGGCCATACAATGAAGTCATTTTTATTGGCTCATATAAAAACGAGAGACTTGTGTGCAGAGTTTCCGTTTTATTGTGTATCCGGCCGCTATTCTC